TTCATCGGAGGCTGCACTGATGATGTTAGCCAGCAGAGTAATGAAACATCTGCGAGGTAATGAACCAGCTCGGCGAGCCAACCAACCACATCATCTACAACCCGAGCTACAGATCTACTCAAGATCCTTAGAAAATCCATTCTAATTACTATATATTCCCAAATAAAACAAGGTTGTAATGGTATCGTGTTCCAATAAGTGTAAGTCCCACTTGTATAAAATTTAAAAAATTTAGTCTCTCGAAATTACAGCCAGGTTATGTGTCTACCGGAATGTTCTGTGCCTTCTCCATTGAATCGGCTATCAGGAACGCCTTCTCCTGTCTTCTGTCAGGAATACAATCTATTTGTGCTGTTGGTACCTTTGATTTAGATGGTGCTTTCTCTAAGATATAGAGGAGACTGAGAGCCAGTGATTCTCTTGAGGGCTGAGAACTGTTAACTGTGGCAGATGGCAGTTAACTCTCTTGTCTTTCTCTAACTGTCCCCTCCTTTTATAACCTTGATGACGTATCCACTTCTTAGAATTGATCCTATGTTGTCAAAACCATCAGATTTAAGTTTAATTGCTTTTTGGTATCTAAGTGCCTGATTCAAATTGAAAGGCTAAATTCAAGACTTGCTGTCTGTTTAACAAAACAGAACTGCTTGGCCTGCTAACTGTACGGCCTTTTGATACAAATGTTTCAATTCAGGTGCTTTCTGTGTACTTGCAAACCTTCAAGCTGCTCACAGACATCCTTTTTAAATCTCTAAGCACAGAAAATGCACATAATCTTTTTAAGGGACCACACACTGTTTCTCCCCCTTAAAATTTTACAAACACCAAATTCTAACATTCTGCCTTCCAATCCACAAACACGCTACCCAACTTCACAGCAATGGTAAGGTCCTGGGGAGTATTGCTAAACAAAGAGACCTTCGATTGCAGGTTCATAGTTCCTTGAAAGTAGAGCTGCAGGTAAATAGGATGGTGAAGAAGGCGTTTGGTATGCTTGTCTTTATTGGTCAGTGCTTTGAGTGTAGGAGTTGGAAGGTCATGTTGTGGCTATACAGGACATTAGTCAGGCCACTTTTGGAATACTGGGTTCAATTCTGATCTCCCTGCTATAGGAAGCATGTTGTGCAACTTGAAAAGGTTCATAAAAGATTTACAAGGATATTGCAAGGGTTGGAGGGTTTGAGCTATAGGGAGAGGCTGAATAGCCTGGGACTATTTTCAGTGGAGCGTCAGAGGCTGAGGGGTGACCTTATAAAAGTTTAAAAAATCATGAGGGGCATTGATAGGGTGAATAGCCATGGTGTTTTCCCCAGGGTAGTGGAGTCCACAACTAGAGGGCGTGGGTTTAAGGTGAGAGGGGAAAGATTTAAAATAGACCTAAGGGGCAACATTTTTACACAGAGGGTGGTGTGTGTTTGGAATGAGCTGCCAAAGGAAGTGGTAATGAATTGGTATATGAATAGGAAGGGTTTAGATGGATAAGGGCCGAATGTTGGCAAATAAGACTAGATTAATTTAGGACATCATGGACGAATTGGACCGAAGGGTTTATTTCCATGCTGTACAGTTCTATGACTCTATGATTATAAAAGGTGGGTGAGATTGCAGGCCATGGAAGGATGGAATAAGTAGTCCAGAAATAGGGGCCTATGAGTTCTCTTCCTAGCTCTGATTTAAATTATTCATGTAGCTCCAGATGAAAGAAACTGAAAGCACCATTGCAAATAAGGGGGTTTCTTAGTGGAATGAGCAAGTCTGGAAAGAGTGCCATTAAGATCATTAAAGATATATATAAATGTATATATTATTCATATGAGTAACCAAATCGAAGGATGATTTTGATGGTAAAAAATAAATTAATTTATAGTTCTGTTGGGAACCAGCCCAAGAATGCTAAGTTGCTATAGAAGTAGGCTCGTCGGGTGTTCTTTTAAAACAAAAAATGGGTTTATTTGTGTGTTTTCTCACAGAAGAGACTGAAAGCATTTTTATGATGAACAGGGGGAGAAATCTGCCAGTTCTGTAAACTACTAAGCAAGAAGGCCATGAAACCCATGTTTGAGTTTGGGGTGTCCAGAATTGTGAAGTGCTTAAAAAGAATTAGAAGTTTGTCTGGCTGAATGCTAATGGAAAGATCCTAATGAATCTGATACCTCAGAAATAGCAGGAGTATTGAGAAAAATCCTAAGACCATCCCCCAGGGGAAATGAAAGAACCTTGCAGAACCTGAAAAATATGGAGAAAATTTGGTGAAATTAAGACAGAACAGGAAGGTTTTTTTCAAGGGTTTTTGGCCTTAAATAATTCAAGTTTACCAAAGATAGCATTAAGTTAGAAGTACTTGCGATTTTTAAACCTTGTACTGTAAAAGTTCTTATTTACAACATGAAACTTTGTGGCATAATTTCTTCCAGTTAGTAATTGAAAATTTTGGTTTATATTTTTAAAAAATTAATGGTTTTCATTGAAACCGTAATAGTGCTCACCTCTAATACCCTCATACCCTAACTAGTATTAGAGGGACTAGAGATACTATGAAGCCAGGGCATTTAGACAGGCGGAATTCATCTAGTGCCAAGACTGGGAACTAACAAGGAGAAGGTGCCTCTATGAGGCGAAAATGGTGTCTCTTTGAAGATGAGAGATTGACTGCAATGGTATCTTGGAAGTAACAATCTGCGTGATCTATTAGGTATGAAGTAAATTAAATCAACATTATTGTAGCATTTTTCAAATTAAAACTCTCAATTATAAAACCTTTTGTGATAAGCATTTACAATTAGCAATACTATGTCTTCTTATTAAATTCCAAATGGTGCCAGAGGAGACATATCCCCAAAAGTTCAGCATGAATATAAGTGCAGTGGGAACAATATTTGAAAGATTGTGTGAAATTTTAAACTTCCTGCACAAACATTTCTTTGGATAAAATTGAAAAGCTTCAAACTACAATTAAAACAGATTGTAGTACTATGTCAACAGTGAAGAAAGACATAAGACGTAAAGGCATAAATGCATTAATGTTGACATATGACACCTCCTTCAAAACAAAACCTTTTTATATTCTCTGTGCTGTTCTCTCTTGGAGGGAACTTCACGGGCAACAATCATCAAGTAGTATATCTTTGAAGTTTGGATATTGAGTCCCAAGAGACATCCCATTCCAAAGAAAATTACAAGCGAGTCTGTCCTTTTCCACCTGATTAAACATCGATGAGAATGCTACCATCCAAGAACGGTGATTAGAATGGGAGCCCAATTGACTACCCCTTCCAGGAGATCATTTGCAGTACCATTACCACTTCCTCTACTGACATCAGATAGATCTGCGCATACCAAGAATCTGAATTGATATTTTCATAGTCTGTATGACTCAAGGATATAGACTGCTGAAATTCTTTTAGGACTATCATTGATCTCTCTCCATGATTCTAATTTTACTGGCTCTGTACCAGTTTTGGGATCATGTCAATCTCTTGCAAGACTCAGATTCTCTGGCATCACTTACAAAACAAATTAAGGCAGAGGTGGAACTAGGGTGGAAACTCCCAATTCTAGATGTTCCTCAATCTCAAGCTTCTGCAGGATCCAGTGCAACAGTACTGAATGAATAAAGGAAGTCAATCCAGCCTCTTCCAAGGTGGATATGGGTTCCACCAATGGGGTCAAGCCAGCAACCCAGATTTCAGAAGAACCCTGCAAGTTTATTTTGATTCCAGGATATAAATTAATTTATATTAATTCTGGATCAGGAAGCTGACCAGTGCATAATCAAGATAAGGGATCTTAAAGGAGCCTGACCAAACCATCCCCAACACTTTTTGGGTAGTGACATGGGTTTTTGACCTTGGGTCAAGCAGAACCCATAATGTGCCAGAGATCATGCTCACACCCACTTGCCATCATTTTTCTCTCCTTAGCAGCCCAAACATTTCAGCATGGTTTCAGCAGGGTACCAATAGACATGTTCTCGTATAACCAAGAGGATCCTGTAGCAAGATAGTGTAGCCCCATAAGTTCATCTCAACAATTAGGAAAGCCAAATATGCTTGCTTGTATGGCAAGAATTTCAAAAAGTTGTGGAAATGTTTTTTGCATTTTTAATATATCTTTGACACTTTCTGAAGCAGAAGAAAATACTTCCAGTGAGGAGATACATAATGTACATTTAAAGAAACGAATCACACAATGTAATGTGACCAGTTCACATAGTGTACAAATTTTCAGCTATGGTTTTATTGACTTCATCTAAAGTTGGCTGTGTTTTTGCAAATGTCTTCACTATTCATGATATTGGTTCAAACCTCTTTTCAAACTGCATGTTCCTCTTCATTTCCCTCTTTACAGCAGGAGAGGGTGAACTAGGAAATCTGGCCAGCATTGGTGACAGCCTGTGATCATAAACAGAAAATGCTGAAAATAAACAGCAGCCAATCTGTGATCAGTTGGCAAGAGATCCAATTTGAATGGCAGAGCTGGTCACTGCCATTTCCTTGCTGTATGATGCTCCATCTGGAGCCTGTTGGAAACTGACTAAACTCCCCTCTTTGAGGGAGGTCATCTCCGGCCTTGAGTTTAGGAGTCAGCTACTGCATTGCTTCATGTACCAAGTTAAACTCATAATCAAGTATCTAGATTCTTATGTTTGTATTGTCTTGTATGGCAGTTGGATGGTAATTAAGTTCAAAACCAAGCAATGACATGTAAATGGTTAATATCAGTTCCTACACCTTTCCTTCTGTAATGGACCCATGTTACTCTGCACTGAATTACAAAAAGCAACAGCCAACAACAATAAAAAAGAACTTGCGTATTCTAAACAGCTGTACAGCAAATGTAACTTCTTGTCAGTCAATAATTTTCCTTTGGTAGGAAGTCCCTCGAGGGTGTGTTAAACTTCATCAAAAGCTTCAGTCACTGTAAGTGACAGATTATTTCTTATCTATTGTCTGAGTCTGTGGAAGTATAATATATTAATGTATCTTTGATGTCATTCACAGGGCTGAGACTGAAAGAGGCCTTTCTCGAAAACATATTATTGAAGGTATGCATCACAGTATGTGATAAAATGTCATACACTAGCTGCATCCTTTATCTTTGAGAATTTGGCTCTGATCCTGTAAGGCTATTTATTTCCCATTATTTTGGATCAGGAGTTCTATTTGGCTGTCAGGTTGGAATTATACAGTGTATTGAAAAACAGGTAAAATAACAATACAGGGATTTCAAGGGATAATGGTCAGTTGTGATAATGTGATGGTTTTGTATCTGTATCATGGTTTCTTTCACTTATGGACTGCTGGACAAATTGTGACAGCTCTTCTTGTAGCATGGGCTGGTATATTCTGAATTTTTTTGCAAAACACTTGTAAAGGAGAAGTATATATGTTTAACATTTTCATTGCCTGCGAATCCTGCTGGATTCAGCAGAATAAGTCAGTCAGTGGTGTCTGTAACTTAGTCAATAAGAATCATATTTATAATGACATGAACGACAATATCATTTTCATTCCCCTTCTCCCTCAAAAATGGAGCATCCTAACACAATAAGGTGTTCAACTGTTTGCAGAAATCTAGCTGCAAACTGTGAGGACAGTCTTTCCAGTAGCAATCCAGGCTAGATTACAGACATTTCAGACACTCTGGCTGAAACATAACTAACCGCATGCAGTGTTAGGAGTAGCTCTAGATTTAATAATTGAACGAAAATGTCAATATGCCACTCATGGAAAACTACCTAAAATGAATAAGCCAATGGGAAAATTAGAGGTAAAATTAAATAAACGTCATCCCCCAGCTTCAGCTTTTTGCTTTCTCCCTTTAATGTTGACAGATGCTTTATTGCATTTTAATCTAACTTATGTCGGGCCTACTCTGTCACTTAATAAGGTCATGGCTTATCTGATTCTAACCTCAAATCCATATTCCCACCTAACCCTGATAACCTTTTAGCATTCTTGTTTAATAAGAATCTATTCACCTCTACCTTAAAAATATTCAAATACTCTGCTTCCACCACTTTTTCAGAAAGAGAGTTCTAAAGACCCTCCATGAAAAAAATATTCTCCTCATCTCTGTTTTAAATGTGCGACTGTTTTCTTTTAAACAGACATGTGGTTCCTCATTTCGCCATAAGAGGAGACATTCTCTCCGCATCTGCCTTGTCATGACCACATAGGATTTCACGTTTCAATCAAATTGCAACTTAGTCTTCTCAATTCCAGTGGCTACAAGTCTAGCCTGTCCAACCTATCCACATAATATAACCTACCAATTCAAAGTATTAATTTGCCAAAATAAAACAAAGAACTGTGATGTTCGAGATTTGGAGTGGCTCAATGGTTAGCACTGCTGTCTCACAGTTCAATTCTGGCCTTGGGTGACTGTCTGTATGGAGTTTGCACATTCTCCCTGTGTCTGCGTGGGTTTCCTCTGGGTGCTCCGGTTTCCTCCACAGTCCAAAGATGTGCAGGTTAGATGGATCGGCCATGCTAAATTACTCATAGTGTCCAGGGTTTTGCAGGCAAGGTGACTTAACCATGGTAAAAAAATGCACGGTATGTGGATAGGGTAGGGGGTTGGAATTCTCCTCAGAGGGTCAGCGTGACCTCGATGGGCCAAATGTTCTGTTTCTGCAATGTAGCAATTCTATGATCTGAAACAAAAACAGCAATTGCTTGAAACTCAGCAGGTCCAGCAGAACCTGTGGGAATAAAACAAAGTTAATGTTTCAAGTCTGATGACTCTTCATCATAACCATTAGCAGCCAGGAGAAAGTGGTATTTATGCCAAAGTTGGGGGAAGGGACAGTGTGGAAGGGGAAACATGTTATAGAGTCATACAGCACGGAAACAGACTCTTTGGTCCAAATCATCCATGCCAACCAGGTTTCTCAAACTAAACTACTCTTACTTGCCTACATTTGGCCCACATCCCTCTAAACCTTTTCTATTAGTGTACCTGTCCAAATGTCTTGAAATGTTGTAACTGTAGAGAGAAATATATGAAAGGGGCAGGTAAACAAGGAGATTATGGATAGCAGGCTAGGATAGAAGAAAAGCTGAGTAAGTGATAATAAGAGCCAAGATGAGAGAAGATGGTCCTCTTTGTCCTCACTTACCATCCACCGGCCTCTGCATCCAAAATATCATAAGCCACCATTCTGTCACCTCCAGCAGGATGCCACGACCAAACACACAGGTACTCTCTTTGCCAATCGACCAGACACCAACACCCCAATGGAAGGTTAGTGATATTGAGTTTGATAATCAAGTTCTGATGACACAAGCTACTGCACCAGTTCCTGTACTCTGTGTTTGCACATAATCACAGTCATAAACTGTCAAGGCCTTTTTTAACCTCAGAATTATCTGCTTTGTATTAAAGTGTACCATTATTAGCAGGAAGACTGCAACTTGCACCAATTGCATTTATAAAATGCTTTTAGACTCCTTCTCCATTCCCAGCATCTTCCACAGCACCTTCCCACACAATCACAGAAGGTGTAACACCTGCCCATTTATCTCCTCACTCCTCACCACCCAAGGCCCCACACATACCTTCCAGGTGAAGCAGCAATTCACCGAAATTTCATTCCATCTAATCTACTGTATTTGCTGTTCACAATGTGGTCTCCTCTACACTGGGGAGACAAAATGCAGGCTGAGTAACTACTTTATAGAACACCTATATTCTCTCTGCAAAAATGACCCCACACTTTCAGTTGCCTGACACTTCAGCACACCACCATGTTCTCATGCAAACATTTCTGTCACAGGCCTGCTGCAGTGTTCCAGTAACTCTCAGTACAAGCTCAAAGAATAACATCTCATTTTCCACTTGGGGACCCAAGGCCTCTAGGACTTAACATCAAGTTCAGTAACTTTTACAGTCTGATTCCATCCTTCTATGTTTTTTACCCACCCTATGCTTAGTCCTGTTATGACTCGGATTTGCTTTTCGCAGTCACCCATGGTCACATTATGTGGGTTACATTCAGCACAGCTCACACAGTTTTGTGCACTTAGCTCTTATTATCATTTATTTAGTTTTTCTTCTGTCTTGACTTGCTATCCATTATCTCCTTGTTTACCTAGCCCTTTCATATCTCTCTGTCTGTCTGTCTCTCTCTCTCTGTTTCCCTCTCTCTGGGCTCCAACTCCACCTAATTGCTCACCTCTCCTAGCATCCTACCCCCCTCCCTCAACTTCGTCTTCAGTATAAATACCTCTTTTTCTGAGCTGCTATCAGTTCTGATGAAGAGTCACCAAGACTCAAATCATTAACTTTGTTTTCTTCCCATAGATGCTGCTGGACGCACTGAGTTTCTCCAGCAATTTCTGCTTTTGTATTCATCTGCTAAAACTTCCTTGAGCCACATCCAATGTATTTACATCCTTTCTTAAATAAGGTCATCAATTCTTTGCGCAGTAGTCCAGGTGTTGTCTTACCAGTGCCCCCTATATGCCCCCTATGAAGCATACCCTCCCTTTTTTTCTATTCCTTTCCCCTTGCAATAAGTGATAGTACTCTGCTAGCTTTCCTAAACATTTACTCTACCTTTGTACTAGCCTTTTGTGGTTCATTGACTAGATCAGCTACATCCTTTTTGCATCTCAGAACTCTGCAATCTCTCATCATTTAGATAATATGCTTTTGTAATCTTCCCACCAAAATAAACAATTTCACATTTCCCCCCTCCATACTACATTTGCCCAATCCTTGTCCACACACTTTATCTATGTATGTCATTTTGTAGCTCCTTATGGCCTCTTCACAACTTACTTTACTGTTGATCTTTGTGTTCTCAGCAAATTTTACCAACAAATCATTCATATATAAATACTTAAAATTGGTCCCAACACTGCTGCCTCTTGTATATCAGAAAAAGCTTCATTTATGCCTACCGTTTGCTTTCGGTTAAACAGCCAGTCTTCCATCTGTGCCAATATGCTACTCCCACTGCATGAGCTTCCACAGTACATTTCGATGTGGCACCTTATCAAACACCTGGAAATCTAAATACAATACATCCACTTTATGCACAGAACATATTACTTCCTCCAAGAATTCCATTAGATTGTTTAAACATGATGGCCCTTTCACAAAACCATGTTGATCCTGCCTGATTACCTTGAACATGTATAAGTTTCCCTCTACAATTTATTTTAGAGTGGTTCCTACTTTTCTCCCTATGACAGCTGTTAACTATCTTGTCATTTCTTGTTTTCTGTCTCCCTCCCTCTTTGAATAAAGGAGTTATTTTTGCTGTTTTCAATCTACTACACCATCACCATTTTGAGACATCTTGAAGTTGCTGTGAGCGCTCTTTCCTTGTAGGATGAGGAGAGAGTGAGATATGGGTAGCCTCCCTCACCCATTCCAACAGAACACTGACATAAGCTATAATGTACCACGGGGATGCTTTTGCACAATTGCATCCTGTATGACAGAGATGAGCTGACGTCTTGATGATGCAACTGGCCACTATATCTGGCAGTGTAATGGAGAACTATGAGTGCTCAGTCTGTTCAGCTCATGTGCATGCCGCTGCATTCAATTATAGGCCTGTCACCCAGGATGTTATTTGCCTCTCAACTTTCAGATCTTATCAGCCCAGTTGAAACTTTTAAACACATGTCCTCCTCATCACCCCTCTACTGCAACCTCTGTAGCTACATCCATTTAGCCTGTTTTGGTGTCACTGGGTAGGTTTTTTCTCCCTGATGTCAGGAACGGTATATTGTGCTCTCAGCACTGCATCACTAATGTCTCAAAAGGGGCATCAGAAAACCTTGAGGTCTCCTGTGGACACCTGCGTGTACTATTGCTTCACTATGTGAACCCTCCTGTGTGACCTCCTCAGCAAATGGTAAGCCCAATCATGACTGTCCCTTACATTTTCAAAAGGGCCTGTGGGTTTTACTGATGGCAGTAATATTGCTATGTCATTATCAAGTGTGACTCTATTGAACAATGTGGAACATGTTGAATAATGACTGAGATAGATTCCTATTTGTGACTGAACAATTAATCACAATGGTTTGCTTTATTTGCTCTTTGAATGCTTCTTTTTAATCTGTACATCTTTACACTGTGTGCTACTTTTTAGGTTTAAAGGCCTCTCTGCAGAGAATGCAGCTTGAATATGTTGATGTTGTCTTTGCCAATCGACCAGACACCAACACTCCAATGGAAGGTTAGTGATATTGAGTTTGATAATCAAGTTCTGATGACACAAGCTACTGCACCAGTTCCTGTACTCTGTGTTTGCACATAATCACAGTCATAAACTGTCAAGGCCTTTTTTAACCTCAGAATTATCTGCTTTGTATTAAAGTGTACCATTATTAGCAGGAAGACTGCAACTTGCACCAATTGCATTTATAAAATGCTTTTAGACACTACTGTAACACTAACAGCTCTTGCCGCTATGACCTGGATTAAAATTCTGAATGAGGATGGTGTAAAGATGTTTTATCTGACATATAGCTGGAAAATTGAAGTTTGGACCAATGATTTGCAGAGAATGAACCAGTTTTTTGATGTAACTCAAAGAAAAAGTGGAATTCTGTGTTTATTCAGATACATAACACTTTTGTAGAAGCTGGATTTGATAATTTTATAAGTCTATCTGGCACCTTTGGGTTGAAAAAAAAACTGTCCAGTGACAGCTTTTCAATTGGTTTAAGTAGCACTTGTCACAGAACTGAGAATGGAACTGAGACCTCCAAAATTCCACAAGCAAGCCAAATCTTGCGCTCTCTCTCTCTCTCTCTCTGAATGGAAAAGAAATAACATTGCAAAGAAAAATAACTCAAGCCAAATCTTAGTTTTAACTATCTGGCTACTGATCACCACCTTTGATAACAACATGATATCTTCACCTAAATCAAAAAGAACTGTGAGGAAGTCACCTCATTTTCCCTTTATGATTTGGGATTTTACTCCGTATTCCTTTTTGTCTATATTTTCCAGCCACAATATTCCTGCAAAACACTGTCTCGTCTGTTTTGTCTTGTCTTGACTTGACTTGTGTGTCCTGTTTGTGAATGAATGTGTCTGTGTTTCGATTTAAACGTGGTATAGTTTAAGTTTGCATATTAGTAAAAATGATTAATTTTCCCACATCTCACAAGGATACATTGTAATAAATGAGTTTTTGTTTTCTTCTTTATTAAAGAAATTTGGTATGAGTTTCTTTTATCTTAGACAGTGGTTACAATGAGGTAAATTAATCATCCTGCTGATTAAAATTGGTCGTATTTCACAATTATGATGACTCATGGATACTGGGGCTCAATTTCTTCACTGCAGCCTTCTAAATCAGAACATTTTGGTATAAATCAAGCTTTCTCTTATCTGTCTAATTATTTTTTTAACTAAAAATGTGCCATTGAATTTTTAGATACTCATTATACTAATAAATATGTGCTCAAATTAACTGATTTATTTTTTATTGTCATTTGTTATTAGTCAGACTGTCATAATAGACATTAAACCTGCAGTGTGCTGGGATGATACAGCAATCCTGTTACATTTCCATACTGCTCCTCAAGTCTGCGTTCCCGATAGCAGGGTTGAAGATGTCACAGAGCAACTCAAGGGCAGTCTCCTGGAGGAGGGTAATCACTGAGGTTATGGTTCACATTGGTACCAACAATAAAGATAGAGAGGGGTTAGTGGTCCTGCAATGAGAATTTGGGGAACTATGTTAAAAAAAAACAAGCAGGACCTCAAAAGTAGTAATCTCTGAATTATTCCCAATGGCACACACACAAGGATACAAAAATAGGATGATAAAATAGATGAATGCATTGTCGGAAAGATGGTGCTTGAGGGAGGGTGTTAGATTTCTGGGCCACTGCTGGGCTGCGGGCGAATGGCTCCTGTACAAGCCAGATGGGCTCAACCTGAACAAAGCCAGGACTGAGTTCCTTGCAGGATGCTAGGCTCTGGGAGGGTTTAAGCTAAATCATTAGGATGTGGAACCAGGAGAGTATATCAGTAAGGAATACTAGGGTGCTCAAAATGGTCAGAGAGTCAGATAGCACTAGGATAGAGAATACTAAGCAAAGAGACGGTATTGGAATAAGGGAGAAATTAAAACATTTTAAGTCAGAGTTACAGCGCATGTATCTGAATGCACCGACTGTAATAAATAACATTGATAAGTTACAGATGCCGATTTCCATGTGAGATCTTGTGTCTATCATGGACACTTGGCTTAAGGAAGTGCAGGATTGGATGTTAAATATTCCTGAATATGTGGTATTCAGAAAAGGTAGGAAAGGAGACATGGTAGCAGTATTGGTTAAGGAGAGCATTGCAGCAGTGGGAAAAGAAAATGCCCTTAAGTGTCGAAGGGCAGAATTGGTTTGCCTACAGCTAAGGAACAAAAAAGGTGCCAAGACATTATTCGGTGTAGTAAATAGGCCACCAGTGGAGATGTAGAAGGACAAATCTGCAAGGCTACTACAGAGAGGTGCGAATATTATAGACCAGTTATACTAGGGCATTTTAATTATCCAAATGTACAGTGAGACAGTGGTAGTGTAATGTCTCTCAAAAATGTGGAACAACACTTCCATTCTGACAGTTTTTTTCAGAGAGCAGAGCTGTCAGAAGAAGACAAACCACACCCCTTAAGGTAAGTGTGAGGGTGCCAGATGGTTATGAGTAAGATACTAGGAAGGTAATAGAATGCCAGTAGTGTATAGGCTATAGTGCCAGAGTGGGATACCAGATGAGTAGGAGGTAGGGTGCCAACTGAGTAGGATACCAAATGGGAACAGAGTGCCACCGATAGGTTGTGGGGAATGCAAGGTGGAACACTGTCAGGTAAGTGGTACAGTGTTTAGGATACTACAGGGAGGGTGGAGGAAATCAGATCCTGTGATCGAATCTGAGGTGTTCAGATATTCTGTGCCAGCAGTGGGAAGATGTGTGGTCAGATCAGGTCAGGTCCAGTGTGTGGGGAGGGTTCTGGTTAGGTTTAGCATTTAGGGAGTGTTTTAGATTAGTTGTAGTCCAGTGTGAGGGGTGGGGTAGTTTCAGGTATGGCAGGAGGGGAATCAGGTCAGGTGGAGGGAGTGGGGGGGGGTATCCTGGATAAATTAGGTTTGGTGCTGGGGTTGGGATGTGGGTGTGGGGTGCACTGGTCTGGTCCAGGGTTGCAAAAGAAACAAGGAATGCTAAAACAAAATCGGACAGTTTTGTAGTTGAAAAAAAATTGCTGTATATTTATTTGCAAGTACACTAAAAAGTTCTGATCACATATGCACAAGGGGAACCATGCAACATTTTATGGCTAAATACAGTAATGCAGCATTTATTCCTGCTCAGTAGTTTTTTAGTTGAATAGTTTCTTGTGTGGAATTTAAAGTGTTACATAGCAACATTAAAAATTAAGAAATTAAATGCTAGGGTGTTATCACTGTGACGCACATGGATATCATCCAGAGAATTTATAGCACGTTCTGTTTTTAATCATAATGCAACAGACAAGTTTACTGACAGATTATCATCCAACATAACGTGGCAAGATTATTAAAAACCCATTACAGTATCCACAATGTACTTCCATGATTTTTATGATTGTTTAGGTCAGGATCAGTAATGCTGTTCAGCAAGAAACCTGTTCTCTGTCTCCCAATGGAAGTGGCATTGAACAGCCAGGAATTCTCAGATGTAATAATGCAATATAACTGATGATTATCCTCAGCTTGGCTGTGACAGATATTTCTCATGAGCTTCAGGGCTGAGGAGATACTTGTGACTGGGCAAAGTTTAAAACAGAGTTATTTGCTCAGGAATATGTTACACACAATCTCTAGGTGGCACAATGAGAGTGCAGGCAAAAAGAAACAACAGAAACTACTTGACATTTGAGGAATCTGCCAGAAGTTTAGGACTTTGGGATTCAGGACTTGGTGAGATGGAGATGGAGGCTCAGACTGACAAAACAAAGCTCCCCCTCCCTGGCAATGTCTGTAGAATAGCTCTGCTCAGCTGTTTCTCCTTCACTAAAGCAACCCTGGCACCTCAGAGATGACAAAGGTAGTGACCAAGTACACCAGCTGTAAGCAAATGCCACATTGTACTGAAAAATATATTCAAAACACAATGGCTGTTAAAGTTTTTGAGAAGATTTGTTGCTTGGAGGTAATGGCAGATTGTGCTTTTCGGGTTACCTCTGAGACAGACCACAACAGGAAGACACAACACGACCAGACTCCCTAATCACCCTACCATTCATCCAAGGGCATTTCAGAGATGACCACAATACTACTCAGACCCTAGGTATCAGAGTAGCCCACAAACCAACAACCACCTATGACAGCTGCTGACAAACATAAAGGATCCCATACCCAAAACCAGCAAAAACCAGTGTAATAAACAAAATACCATGCAAGGACTGTGAGAAACACTACATAGACCAAACCAGAAGAAAACTGTCAATGCAGATACACAAACATTAACTAGCCACCAAAAGACACGACCAATTCTCACTTGCCTCACTACACACAGACAACGAGGGACACAAATTCGACTGGGACAACAGATCCATAATCACATAAGGCAGACAGACACACACCAGGGAATTCTTGGAGGCCTGGTATTCCAACCAGAACTCTATCAACAAACACAATGAATTAGACCCTGTGTACAAACCACTGAAAAACAGATATGGAAATAATACCAACACCCAGCAAACCAAGGCATATAAATAACAAACGGGACAGAACACCGACACTTCACCGGAGGCGCACTGATGATGTTACCTAGCAGGTGACGAAACGTTTGCAACCAAACTCACCGGCTCAGCGAGCATGTTTACAAACTCACACAATGGCTCTTTTAAGAGCCCCCATAATGTATCTGAAAAAGCTGTGCAGCATCTGGTGGAATAAGCCAAATGAGACTTAATCGACACATGATTCCAATATTTGTGGTTGATTGAAAGGCAAGCATCCCTGTCTCTTCCCAGAAGAAGATGCAGCTTTGTTTTGCTGTTGCTGAATAGAAGTGGATGTTTTAAACCCCTTTGAAGGCTTGCCAATATGTGTTGGTCCCACCTTGAACAATGAAAAGATGAGAATTCTGGGTAATCCAAGATGGAGGACGGGAAAAAGTTATGACTGTAAGAGCTGCTTCTTTTTTGAGGTATTTTCAGTGTTGAAGCTGATTTCCTCAAAT